ACTATTTTGCGTACAGTTTCTTTTCCCAATTTGTAGCTCCCTGAAATGCTCTGCATCGATAATCCTTGTGACAAATATCTCATAATTATATAAGAAGTACATACGCATATTAATTTATTCTACAATACATTGACAGTCGACTTACAGTAACGCCAAGGAGAGCCTTTCCTCGGGACCAATCCGTTGCTTTGGTTTCCACAAGGATTTGCTTACCAATTTTAAAAGCATATCAAATATGTGCGGTGGCATCCTTGTTTGCAAAAACCATTGCTCTGGTTCTTTTGTTCTCATGAGTTGGAAAGTTCGGAGTTGGCAACCAGCAGTGGCCCAGTTTTTATTAATGGGACGAATTCTATATCGTCTTTGCTTTTTATTATTTTTGTATTTTTTGTACAAATTGTACAACTCGCACAATCTAATAAACAATTCATCAATATCATCGGCTTCCATTTTGCTGTTGTTATTAAAATGGCCAATACCGCGCCAAGGCGCATCAATTACAGGTGATAGCGATAGAAGCTATGCTTCTTCTTATGAGCACGCTTGTGTCAAATTATCGTCTGTTTTGCTTTATTTACATATCCGCGTACACATACACATATACGTATATATATACCCTGCAAACAAATGCTCCCGAAATCTTTAAGAGTGTCGGAAATTTGTTACGATTCTTTTAGAAATCTGTAAAGAAAAACATATGAAGCGGTTGACAAGAACTAGTAAAGAAATATCTGTATGATTTCTTAAAGAAAATTCTTAAAAAAATTGTGAAACCTTTCAGAATTCTATGAAAGCCTGGTATGCAGGGTATACATATACACACGAATATGAATAGATAAAGAAGATGTTGATGACACAAGGAGTTCATACCAACGGTAAATGTTGTTTTTGTACGATTGCTACAACCTGTAGTTGTTGAATCATGATACCGCGCCGAGACGCGAAAAACAAGAAAATAGAAGAATGCTCGAGGAATGACGTAGAATATTTGACAGTTAGAAACGTCAAGTGGATAAATAGATTTGTTCCACACGATCCTATGGGTACCCACGGTCATCCCACGGGTACCCGTTGGTGCCCAAAACAGCCCAGAAAGCGCATGAACGAAAGACACAAGGGCGCATATTCATAGTCATATTTAGAACTCAACTAAGTCGTAACTATTCTAAAGGCTCCGTTATGCATACTTGGCATAGCTTGAGAGCTGTCACATAAGAAATCTGTTAAATGAGCCTCGCGTGTAATCGGTTATCGAACGCACAGCACTACATACGTAGAAGTCTGTTGGTTTTTGATTTCTACGTAAAAATGGTATAGCAGTGCATGCCATGCCAAGTATGCATAACAGAGCTTTAAGTCACAACTAAAGCTATTCATAGTCGCCTTAGTTTCGACTTTTCTGGCTAAGTACCCACTTAAATTTTAGTTTCGGCTGCAGCTGCAACTAAGTCGTAACTAGGAAGAAGTATTTTATCAAATTAAGGCCCGTTGTTCAATGTCTGGTTATCACTACCACTACACTATCGACGATTTCGACATCATGCATGTAACATGTGGTCGATAAAGCAGTAGTTGTGCTTAACCGGAGCTTCTACCTCCGATTTGTGCTAATCAGACATTGAAAAACCGGCCCTAAGGGAAAACAGACGTAATATGTAAAAATTAAGTTGGTAGAGGGTGATTTTGATAATATTGAATAAACTCCAATTAAAATTTACAAAGATCGATCCATTTTAATCGGAAGATGAATTTAAATGCATAGTACAATTCGAATAAAGCTACATCACAATTTTATAATTTGAATAAAATTTTCAAATAATAAGTCAGTTTCACACTAGTTCTTTTAAAGTAAATTTGTGCATAACATTTAGATATCTACTATTTGTATGTTTCACACCATGCTTTCGATAAACATCGATTTCACATCACTGCGGTTGTTCTGGCTATTTCACACAATTAACAAGAAAATGATACCTTATTCTTTTGCAAAATCATGCAATGAAAATAAAAATTACATAAACGGATGATCAAACTTGATATTATTTAATAAAAATGTAATTTTTCCAAAATATCGTAAAGAAAAATCGATACATTTTCACACTCGTTTTGCTATATCGTAAACTAAGTCGAAACTACTTAGTAGAAGTCTGAAATGCGACTATGAATAGAGGCAAATTTTAAGTTGATACTTAAATTTAAGTTGCAACTTTGTTAGTTTCGACTTAGTTGCTGGACTATGAATACGCGCCAAGATCACGTAAGAACAAGAGAGTGAAAAAAGTCGTTTTTTTTTAGCGGATTCTACGCCATCTTGTTTCACTGAAAACGAGCGAAAAGTAAACAAAGCAAAGAAAACAACGAAAACCAAAATTAGCCAAAATTATTGTCAGCCACTTTAAACGCACAATTTAGGTAAAATGATACAACAAAATGCTTTAAAATGTGTTGTCATGTTGAATTAACCCTTCTTTACTTGAATAAAAGTGTAAAATAGTAGTGCTTGTGATGTAAACAAGCGCTCAGCTGACGAAGCCGCTTTCGCAAACTTTTTTCTCAAAACCAGTTACAAACACAACGTCGCGTTCTTATACCATGTTCTGACCGACAACGAAAACACTTTGAAAACGTGTTTTGAGATTGTGGGCTGAAGGCTGTTCACACCGGCTGTTAGTGTTTTCGTTGACATTTCTTACATCCTCTGATTACAGTTTTACTACACAAAAACAAAACCAAAATGCTTTTCCCTCATTTTCTTTTCATTAGTAACCTCTTACTTTCATTCTTATTTTACTTTTGCCAGCCAATTAACAATAAATCCGAAATCATGAACGAAAGACACAAGATCACGTAAGAACAAGACAGTGAAAAAAGTCGATTTTTTTTGCGGGTTTCACTGGAAAACGAGGGAAAAGTACACAAAGCAAAGAAAACAACGAAAACCAAAATTAGTCAAAATTATTGTCAACCACTTTTAACGCACAATTTAGGTAAAATGATGCAACAAAATGCTTTAATATGTGTTGTCATGTTGTATTAACTCTTCTTTACTTGAATAAAAGTGTAAATTATGGTGCTAGTGATGTTAACAAACGCTCAGCTGACGAACCCGCTTTCGCAAACTTTTTTCTCAAAACCAGTTACAAATACAACGTCGCGTTCTTACGTGATCTTGTATTTTTGGTTCATGATCCGAAATGGCGTATTAAAAATGATAAAATATGACTTCCACTTCGATAAATAATCGAAAAAAAAAACTAGGGTAGACACCGATTGGAATGAGTGAACCATGATTCAATAATTAAAGGTTTGCTCATTGTTGACTTTAGAGTTTTGACACTCCCTTAACTCCCTTAAGGCCCGTCCACATAGAACTTTGGCGTTGCGTTGGCGTTGGCGTCGCTTCAACAGCTGACTATGAATACATGAATTCAAATGCAGCCGTCCACATAGCCAAAATTCGACAACGCTCACGCCAACACAAAGCAAAAAGATGGCCAACTCTCAACTTTTCGCGTGCGTCGCTCGTCAGCTGTTGCGAATAAATAAAATTATGTGAAATATTTTTCCTTTTTAATCAAGTTCGGGCAAGAAATATCGTTTTTAATGCAATTATTGATATGAAATGTTAATTTATCTGTCGTTAATATGTTAATTTAGTGGCCCAAGGATTCGCTGCCAAGCGTTCATTGTAGCAAGCACACTTTTAACGTGCGTTCTGTCAAACCAACGCCAACGCCAAAGCCAACGCGAAAGTTCTATGTGGACCGGCCTTGACAAAAGCTTTGCACACACACACGAACCCACACACAGTGCCTTGCTAAGGGCGCCGATTTTGTCAAGAGGGAGCGAGAAAACATTTTTCTCTATTGAATCATGAGTGTGAATAGCCTTCAGCCCACAATCCAGTGTTGTTACATACTTTTTTTAAAAGTTCCCACGCATCGAAATAAAAATCCCTATTTTTCCCTACGCTCATATATTTTTCCGTACAAAATTCCCTACACTTTGTTTTTGACCAATTTTCGTTTTTATACTCATTATTTGCTAAAGTATATACTCATTATTTGCTAAAATAGTGCTACCAACGCAAACATGTGTAAAACTTTAGAATGTAGAAAATAAAATCCTCAATTAAAAAATGATCACAAATTCCTCAAGTTCAACTACTTGTATGCCAAATACACGACACAAATGCAAAGTTTTTTTTTTAATAGAATGATTTTAATGTGGCCACACTAACACGACTACGAGAATGTTGCCACAAAAACGGGCTGATTTACCCTTTGTTGTAAGTTTTCATGTTTTCTAAAAAACATAGTGGTACAAAGCTCAATAACAATATTGCAAAGTTTCTAACTGTGAAAAATATTTTGTAATCGGTCGAAAAGTCCCTACATTTCAAGCTTTTTTAAAAATCTGTCCTTTTTTCCCTACAGCCATTATTTTTCAACAAAAATCCCTTCGTGTAGGGATTTGTCCCTATGTGTAACAACACTGCCACAATCCCAAAACTCGTTTTCAAGGTGTTTTCGTTGTCGGTCAGAACATTGCAATAGATGGCAGAACGTTCTAGAGTTGCCATGAGTCCGAGCACAGTTATATAAGGCCGCTACTAAAGCACACTGTAGTGTAAATAGCTTTTTTTTAATGGAGATAGTGCGATCGGATTTTTTCGCAGTAAAATATAGTTTTTGTCTGAAAAAAACGAGCGATAGTTAAAGCTTAAACAGACGGTAGCGTTGATCCGGACTAACTCGGACTTAATCCGGATCAATTGCAGTTAATTCCCGAGTTGATCCGGATCAGCGCTGCCGTCTGTTTACGCTTTTATACCTCATTTGACATCCGAAAAAACTTTAAAGTTTTCCCTGTTCATAATTCACTGATTTCGTTTGTGGATCGCTGTCTTGAAATACAACTCTGCTACTGCGTCCGACACTGAACACACACGTTGAAATGGCCAACGGCACAGCTGGGGCGTTCAGTGTGTGTAGCTTTTCGTTTTTTCGTTCTCGATTGCTGATTTTGCTCGGTCGTGATTTCGCTGATGTCGGGGGCATTTTTTCAGCACGTGAAAATTTAAACCATAAACGGAATTGCAAGATAAATTGCGATCATTCAGACGATACAGGAACCTAAATAATCCAAGTAAATTACAAAGGAATCGAAGGAAAACAACATAGGTGGGTATTCAAGTGAACACGTTGTCTGGTACAGATCGAGTAGAATTGGAATTTGAAATGTGCAATTATGAAATAAGCTGAAAAAAATTAAGTGCTCTATTGCTATGCGCTGGCGCTGCTACTCCCCCATACCACCAATGTCTTGTTCTAGCATTTCCAAGTGGTAACTCATTATTGAATTTTCACGGGCAGCATGTGCGATATCTTTCTGGGAGGAAACAAATATGACGTTACACTTGATACAAAATTGCATAGATAATCGCATATATGGACCTTTCATTAAGGAGTTGCATATTTTAGTTTCTGTAATTTTCCATCGCAACGCAATCGAAATTTTTACACCATCGCGATCGTGTGTATCTGCCGCCGATTCGTCATTTGTTTCTGGATTTTTGCGTATTACTTTATATTCGTTTTTTACCGCCGCTTAGATTGTATCTACCTCATTCTCTGTTTGCGCACATGTGCGTTTTTACAGTAACCTTGTTGTTGTGACCATGTTGTGTCTGTTCCTAATAGATGGTGTTGGTGTTGGCAGCCACAATAAATCCAAGTGTATGTGTACAATGGTGCCTCAGCCAACTGTTTAAATCTACCGCTTTGTTTATAAGCTAATTGGGAAAGGGAGGCTTTGTTGCTGTTGAATGGATAAGGTGGCGAAGGTTTTAAGAACGACACCATATGTGTCGCATTTAAGAAGGGTTAAGCTTTTAAGTTGTTACGCTAAGCACTGTCTGCGGCAAGTGGTCGGATATTGTTTCATGCTTCGTATTATTGTTTGGTCGACGTTGCCTGAAAAGTTACTAAGCTGTCTGTAGACGTGGAAGTTTGCATTGCCACTGTATTGGTTGAGAAGTTTACTTTATGCACTTATATTGATCAAACGAGTGAATTTAGCGCTCTCTAAATTGACCGCTACCAACTTAATTTGAACTTGTAGAAAAAAAATTTTTTTTTTATAACTGCCAAAATTTTAATTATTAAGTATTGTCCCGAATTACTGACGAAAATATTACATTTTTCAGCGAAATATTTTTCACTCCATATATTCTTCAACACAGCATCAAATTTGTTAAAATTTTTAATTGAAAATGCCTTCCGATGCCAAGAAACGCGATGCGCAGCGCAAAAAGGACGCGCGTAACAAGAAAATCCAGCAAGTCTCATCGTCCAAGAAGCCAACACAAAACGGCACCAATGGCACACCCGAGCGTGAATTGACGGAGGAGGAAAAGCTGTGCGCCAAGTTAGAGGAAGAGGCACGTATTAGCGCCGAAGCACGCTCTTGTACCGGCTCACTAGCCGTACATCCTCGTTCACGTGATGTGAAAATTGCCAATTTTTCAATCACATTCTTCGGCTCCGAGCTGTTGCAAGACACAATGCTCGAGTTGAATTGCGGGCGTCGTTATGGTGTGATTGGCTTGAACGGCTGTGGCAAGTCATCATTGTTGGCAGTGTTAGGTAAACGTGAAGTGCCAATACCCGACCACATTGATATTTTCCATTTGACGCGCGAAATACCGGCGTCTACTAAAACTGCGCTTAAGTGCGTCATGGAAGTCGATGAGGAGCGTATAAAATTGGAAAAATTAGCCGAAGAGTTGGCAATGAGTGAAGAGGATGATGCCCAGGAGCAATTGATTGATATCTACGAGCGACTGGACGACATGTCAGCCGATCAGGCTGAGGCAAAGGCTGCACGCATTCTGCATGGTCTCGGTTTCGACAAAGACATGCAACAGAAACAGGCCAAGGACTTTTCTGGTAAGATTGAAACTTACTCGTACATTTCCAGGAGTAATCAATGTATGAATTCAAATCATATGCTAAGTTCGTAGCTAATCGAATTCGGTGATGGCATTTTCGTAGATTTCACGAAAAATCGGATAGCCCGGAGTAATTGTTTCTTTTCTCAATTCAGGTGGTTGGCGCATGCGTATCGCGCTTGCCCGTGCACTTTTCGTCAAACCGCATCTTTTACTTTTGGACGAACCGACTAATCACTTGGATTTGGATGCCTGTGTGTGGCTCGAGGAAGAGTTGAGGGAGTACAAGCGCATTCTTGTGCTCATCTCTCATTCACAAGATTTTCTCAATGGTGTCTGCACAAACATCATACACATGACCCAGAAGCGCCTCAAATACTACACTGGTAATTATGAAGCATTCGTACGCACACGCATGGAACTGTTGGAGAATCAGATGAAGCAATACAATTGGGAACAGGATCAAATCTCGCATATGAAAAACTACATAGCGCGATTCGGTCACGGTTCGGCTAAGTTGGCGCGTCAGGCACAATCTAAAGAAAAGACGCTTGCCAAAATGGTTGCACAAGGTCTAACCGAAAAGGTGACCGATGATAAAGTGTTGAATTTTTATTTCCCGTCTTGCGGCACCGTGCCGCCACCGGTTATTATGGTGCAGGTAAGTGTAATTGGGTAGTTGGCTTTGTGTTAAGTACAAACTTGTAAGAATCACACACCTTGCCTCCTTTTGGACACACCTTAAACACATTTCATTTCTACGTAGAATGTCAGTTTCCGCTACAACGAAAATACTCCATGGATCTACAAAAATCTAGAATTCGGTATTGATTTAGACACACGATTGGCTTTGGTCGGACCCAATGGCGCGGGCAAATCCACACTGCTTAAACTATTGTACGGCGATTTGGTGCCCACCTCGGGTATGATTCGCAAAAATTCGCATTTGCGCATTGCCCGCTATCATCAGCATTTGCATGAATTGCTCGATTTGGATGTTAGCCCTTTGGAGTATATGATGCGCGAATTCCCCGCTGTCAAGGAGAGAGAAGAGATGCGTAAGATCATTGGTCGATATGGTTTGACTGGCCGCCAGCAAGTATGCCCGATAAGACAACTGTCCGATGGTCAACGTTGCCGTGTAGTGTTTGCCTGGTTGGCTTGGCAAGTGCCGCATCTTCTATTACTTGATGAACCTACCAATCACTTGGATATGGAAACCATCGACGCGTTGGCTGATGCCATTAATGATTTTGATGGCGGTATGGTATTGGTTAGTCACGATTTCCGACTGATCAATCAGGTGGGTGACATGGAATAATGAAAATTAATTAATGAGTTAATAGATTGTTTCTACCTGAAGGTTGCCGAGGAAATTTGGGTCTGCGAAAATGAAACTGTTACGAAATGGAAGGGCAACATTTTGGACTACAAGGATCATTTGAAAAATAAAATTACCAATGAAAATGAACGGAAGAAGAAATAAATCAAGCAAGCACATAATTACATATAAAAGCAAATATTATCAACCAATTTTAATTTGCTAGCCAAGCGAATTTTTATTTATTTAAACTTTATGAAACCAATGAACATATGCTTAAATGATTGTAACTAAAGCGCGAAAGCAAAACTCTATATTCGTAACATCAAATTGTCTTAAGAAAGAAATTAAAACAGCATTGAATATAAGCATTGAAAATATTGCGGATATGGGTAATTTGAATAATAGCAGAACTTAAAACTATTTCCGTGAAACAGAACGACATTTGTGATTGATTGTTTAAGTAATTTATTACTCAGTAAATATCTACTATAAATACTTATATGCTATGCTACAAATAATTAATATTCTGAATGTATTGAAAGCCATCCAGTCATCAAAACTGCTAGGCGGTCCCGAGGCTTCTCGGAATACTATACATTTCAGTTTAGAATACATCAGTTTTAAAGGATAACAATTATATAAACTAAACTTGTGCTGAAATAAGTACCGCTTTTATGTTCAATTAGCGGTCATTTATTTTTCTGAACACTAATGGGCAAAACTACTGCCTTTGAAAAATGAGGTTTGCTATAAAGTGAACATAAACCTATAGGTTACATATTAGAAGATGAATTTTTTTATATTCGGATAATAGAAATCAAGTTCATGAAATTGTATTTAATCGGCAATAGAAGAAAAATGTATGCCAAAAGCTTTCAACAAATGATGAGTGTAATAAACACGTTGAGAATAAATAAAATTTGCAGGCATTCATACACAAATAACGTTTTTTTTTTGTTTAAAGGGAAATATAAATAACAGTATAAAATGAGCCACACGCTTGGAAAACGATCATCGATTTACCAACCTTGCACTCTTTCGTATTAAATGCAACTAGCTGAGTTAATTAAAACAATAACGTTCACTGTCAATAAACATTTATTAAAATATGCATGAAAATAATTAATGCGCTTATTTGATTAACAACAAATTTTGTTTCTTTCCCAACCACCCACTTATTGTCCCCCTCAATATTTTTCCTCCAACTTCTCACATATACATCGCGCTACATGCCGATGTGCCTCATTGAGCGCATTAAATTTTGCCACAAACTGATTTAGCATTACTTTGTAGTCTGTTATTCGGCATTCCTTCCAGGCTAACACTATTTCCGACAGCTCCCATTTCATTTGTAGCGGTACATAAGTGCCTGTGCTATAGTGATTTCCACCTATCTCTGCAAGCGGCGAACTTGCGCCCGCCTTGTTTTCATTCTCGAGATCCGCCAATCGCCCATAATATTCCATTAGCTTAATATGTGATGGTGACTGGCGCGCTGGTGGCAGGTTTAACGCCATCAACAAAAGCAATCGTAATATTTCTACACGCTGCAGCAGATCTGCATACAATTCATGCTGTTTGCGCTCGCAAATATTATCTACTATATCATCGAGCTGGTGAAGTGCGCTGAGAAAATCTCTCTGTTCTAATGATGCATGTGCTGCTACTTCTAGCTCAAATATTCTATGTGCAGGGGAAGCAAAACTACTGCAGCCATCATAATGTGGCTGCAGCGGTGACATTTCACGGATTATAGCCGCCTTCAAAACCGTGTCATCGGCACAACGTTCCAATGCTTGACAGTAACAACGCAATGCACCCTCCTTAAATTCGCCACCGCTGGAACGGAGTTGCAGTGCAGCGTTTGTATTGTGAACGCGCATGAAAGCGCGAGCTGCTCTCAGGTAAGCTTGGCATTCGTTGATCACATTTCCTGCAGACAGCTCACACTTAGCAACGCCTAAGTGACACATTGCAGCATACTGAAAGATACCAGCCTCCTCGAAACGTGACGCCAAACGTCCGAACTCCTCCAGCACCTCGGTGACATTAGGCGCAAAGCGTCTGTTGGAAAGAAACTTTTAGTGGATATTTGGTATACAAAAGATCATCAACATACTTGAAAACGACTCTATCAAACTTTTTGAGTTTATTCGAAGCCTTTAAATACTGATCAACTAACTTTTGTGGATAATTGTCCATTTTGGTTGACAAATAAACAAAAGCTTACAACTAAAAGTTGCAACAGCTGATAAGTTTTGTTTATTAAGCATATAACCCCAACTAACAGCTGTGCTCGGCGCTGCGAAAACTAAACATAGCCAAAAGGAAATACAGTAGGTTCTTTCCCGACAACAAACCTGCAAAAATCGCGACTACTCCATGCATGCGTGTAAAGAGTACTCCCTAAGGCCCAAGGAGTACCCAAAATCATGATCCAACTACACAAGATCTGACAAGATGAAGCAAAAGAAAAAAGTAATTTTCTGGCTGACGTTTGTAATTTCGGCGCCATGTTATTTTCTGTGAAAAGTAAACAAAGAATATTAAGAGGTAGCATAAAGAAAAACTGCAAGCAATGTTGTGCACATGTTTGTTCTAACCAATTTATTATTTTTGTACGTGTTTTTGCATCCAATCACCGCGCACTTCATTTGAATTACATTTGCACAAAAAATCACTTAAAAATCACTAAATAAACCACGGACAAAATACACATAAAGAAAGAAGCAAAACAGAAATAGCAAACTTCAAAATTACGAACGTCACACACTTTTTTCTCAATTGCTATTACAAATGGCTGCTTCTCAACCGGTCAGATCTGTTCTAATTGGTTCATGCTCCAAAATTAACCACAATTCATATAAGAAATATGATCCAATTAACATTGCGATGTCCTAGGGCAGGACCATATACTCCATCCCTGCATTACATCAGAGTAGCACAAAACTACTCCATGGACGGATGACAAATTTTCGGGTGAATTTTTTTCAGGTGAAACTCAGGATAAGGCAGATTTAAATTTTCACAAACTGGAAAAATTTATGTTCAAACATGTAAACAAAACACTGAATAGTTGTCATTTGACGCAATCGCACTATTTGCTAGTAAGAAAAACAGCTGATGGCATGATGCTTATTATAAATCACATCAAGAAAATAATTGTTTGTGGTGCTTTTAGAGTTGCAATTGACAAAATAAACCTATTTAAATATATAATAAGATGGAAAACACTCGTTTTCTAAGAAAACAGCATCGGAAAATAACTAATTAATCAGCTGTTCATAAAACTAACAACTTCTTGTTGGTTTTGCCTTTTCGTACTTTCTTGCATATTGCACTCATTGGGAGGAAATATTGGCTTACTCTCCGAGATTTGGTTACTGGCAAGTTACTGGATATTTTTTGCTGGAGAATACGAAAACACAACTAATGCCTTCAACGAATAAACCGTTTTTTCGCTCTCCTGTAAAATTTGAGTGCCGTTAGATAGGCGGTTTTGCAATTGGGCGACGGGCGGTTTTGCAAAAACATCGGCGATATACTTAAAATCAAATTTGTGAAACCAAAATTCAATTTCCAAGTGTTTGCATTTAAGTGACAATCTGCTGTTTCTCAAATTCTGGGCATGAAATGTAGTTTTTTTCGTTCCCATACTTCTGGACTTTGTTCCATTTTTTAGGGCAAAATTTTCGCTTATTCTCTAATTACCGGATCCGGTGCGGATTGTTAGGGAAAGAACCTAATATTTTCGCTAATGATTATGGGTAAAAATGTTGCCATGCGGAGGTGCAAAAGTTCTTCAAAGTTGCACTTCACCCTGTGAAATTGCCCCATCTTAAGGTTCAGTGCAGCCCTTCAGACGTACAAAAGAACACAAACTGCAACCCTGAAATCCAGTCAGCTGTTTTTCGGGCGGTAAGCGGAGCACAAATTGAGGAAATTTTCGTGGACCATTTAAAATAAAAATAAAAAATAAAAGAATGGAAGTTAAAGAAGAAATCCCTATCCGGAGCAAAACAGTTACAGGTAATATGAGAATGTTTGGATAGAAAAGTAAAAGCCGAAAATGCTATTATTTAAACGATGCTTTTTTGCAGTATGGACTGAAGGCGAAACACTACTTCTGCTGGATAAGTACACTTCCTATTTTCCGGACATTGGCCCCTTCAAGCAATTAAAAACAAAGAGGGACATGTGGATGAAGATTTCTGCTGAGTTCGACGGGAAAAGTTGGAAGCAGTGTGAAGAAAGGTACAAGACCATCATGAAACGTAAAAAGGCGCCAGGGAAAAATAACAGCATCTCAGGTGCAAAACGCCAAAAGTTGCAGTTTGAAGAGCTAGACGAAATATGCCAATGTGGAATAAAAAAGGTCACAGCAAAAGAAAAGCAAAGAAAGGGGAAATCGTTGCACGAAACTCTCATTGAAATTGCTGCAAGGAAGGAGGAAGCTAGAGAGAGGCGACACAAAGAAAGAATGGAGAGAGCTGCAAGAATCGAAAGCCTTATGGAAAAATGGATGGCTGACAGCAAACCACCTGGAAGCTATGAGTGTGCGAGATATAATACTTATTGAATCAGGTTCTAATTGTATATGCTGCTTATGATCTATTAAACTTTAATATGTGTATCTCTTAGCTTTTGGCTTGCAGGTTTCCGTGATTGGATATAAAATACGTGCAACTGCCTTTCGATTCCGGCCCAACGATTCTCCAATTAGCACTTTTACCGGGATCCCTTCGCTCATTTACATCTGTAGGTGCTAGTGGTTCGGGTTTCGGAGCGACTTCAATAGCAACAACGGCACTAGCACTATGTTCGATTAAAGTAAGCAAAATTATTATTTTTTAGTTATATTTTTAATTAATTTTTATAATAATCTCATTCGAGAACAAAAACCATATAAACCTAAGTATGTATGTAGATTCCAATTTCATACAAAGTTCACAAAAATTCTACAAATTAAAAAAAAAATGCCAAACGATTTTCAACATTTTTATCCAGAATTTCTAGAAGATTTTTGAGTTATGTATGTGGTATCTTATAGAACGATCTTTACTTCAAAAAATTTGTTTTAAAAATAAATTAGTTAACATTAGTAGTAAACTGTGTCATATTGAATTTTGTTGCAAATAATATGTCCGACATCGTATTATTGGACTTATTGACAAGTTTTGCCTATTTATTTATTTGTATTTTTTTGCTATTTATTGGCCTAATAACAAATCATATTCAACAATTTTATTGAGCTTGAGGCCGTGAAAAAAGCAACAATAGTTAACGTGGCGCACTTAGCCCAGTGGGTGGACCACTTTTTAATCCGAGGTCGCTGGTTCATATCCCAGTGACCGCTATGAAGAAGTCGGATAAAGAGATATGATGATCTCCGCAATAGGATAACTTCTACCATTTGTAAACTATTGTTGTTCTTCGCAATAATTTTTCATTTAAAACGGTCTCAGGCTCAATAAAATTGTTGAATTTATTTATTTCTAATTTCATTGTAATAATTTTTTATAATGTCGTTACTTTAATGAATTCAAATATTGTTATGTGTTTTAAAATTGTTAACCAGAATTTTAAAACGCAGTTTTATAGCCCATTCAGTTTTCTTATAATAACATGCAAGTTTCAATTAGCTTGTCAATAAGTCCTATCGAATAATTATTTATGTCAAGAACTACATATGGACACATTATTTGCAACAAAATTTAATATAACAAAGTTCGCCACTCGTTTACTAATTTACTTTTAATAAAAGTCTATCTCGTTCTTTAACACTTACCACATAAATACTTGTTTCATACTTTTTAATTAGAGATTTAGGAAAGTATTTGAGTATGTAATTTTGTTCGAGTGGCGTTCTTTTATGATATTTTTTTACGGCTGTGTTGTGCACTTTCTATAACGAATACTCGAAGAAAACTGAAAATTGCACTTTACTAAAATACAGTGGTGGAAAAATAAATAGGGACATGACATTTTTAAAATTTTGCCTCGTTTTCTTTCGTTTATGTAATAATTATTTTGTTTTTTACACAATTATAGCTCATTATCTAACAAAAACCATATAAATTCATATTTCAAACTTGATAATTTTTATTCTGAATTTTTTACGCGCTTTGGTCCATAAAGAAAAAAAATTTCGAATATACCTTGTATGGAAGAAACTGCGTTAAAAAAATTGCCAAAAATCGACCCGATTTTTTAGCAACTTTAAACTTAGACTTCATTCTACTAAAATTTAATGGGCTAAAGCTACATACTCGAAAAAATTGTAAAAACGTTGATAAAAATGTTGAAAAATTAGATACAATTTTGCAGAAGTTTTACGCAAAGTTTGAAATATGAATTGATATGGTTTTTGTTAGATAATGAGCTATACTTTTATAAAAAATAATAAATGTTAAATAAACAAAACAAAAATAGGAAAAATTTGATAAAATGTCTTGTCCCTATTTATTTTTCCACCACTGTATATTGGGCTACAAAACTGCATACTCAGATATTTTCTAAAAACTCTGATTAAAAAGTGCGAAATTTTGATGGACATGCTTCGACATCTTTTAGTTTGTTTTGGTAAATTCCGTACAAAGTTGGAAATATAAATTATTAAACATGAGTGGCAAACTGTGCTATATTGAATTTTGTTGCACTGTATACATATATATATAACCGTGAGTACAAGACGTTGCCCTTAATCCGTCGGATTTTTGGCGAAACGTTGGACCAGAAAATCACTTGAACTTTTTTATATTCCGCTAAGAAGCCTGGGAACCGAAATATGTAAATACCGTAAAGGGTTCTACAAGGTGTCATAACGTTTAATAGCGTCTAAAAATCATATAATCAAGTATTGAAAAACAAAACCTTTATGCTACTCTAAAATTTTACGATTGAACACGTTATGACTTGCGGTTCCACTAATTTTTTTACATACATATGTTCGTTCCAATTTAACTAAAATACTGAATTACTTTGTACATATTTGAAGCAAATAAACATGATCTCTCTTATTTTCAATAAATACGAATGTTTGTAAGAAACAAAATAAAAATTTGTTTTTAAATATTTATTCACTCTTGCTTCGAAGCACATCTGTAAAATACTTTGATTAATAAAATATTTCATATTTATATGAAAAAGCATGTATCATGGCACGGCTTAAGCAAACTTGTCAAAAAAGTGACTTTATTTGGCTTCTTTTCATTTCGCCAAGCTCGGTAAGAACAGAGTCACTTACTTCGGAATGAAAATGTTCCCGAACGGAAGCAGGTTCGGCGCAATATTCTTCTCCCTCAATAACATCTTGTTTGTCTATGCAAATATTATGAAGTACGCAGCATGCCATTATAAACTTCGTTGTTGTCTCAACTTCAAGAAAATCTAGTCGCATAAGTTGCCGGAATCGACATTTTAACAATCCAAAGGCGTTTTCTATTCGCATCCGAGTTTGACTAAGTTTGTAATTGTACATCTTTTCTTGCTCAGTTAAATTTCCGTAATCCATATATGGAATTAACAAGAAATTTCTGATCGGATAAGCAGAATCACCTAACAGATGATATTTTGGTAAACATAACTTTGGAAGTTTCTTACTAATGAAAGATAACTTCAACAACCGCGACTCATGCACTTTACTCGGTGCACCAGTGAAAACGTCTATAAATTTTAAATTTGCGTCGCATATACCCTGCATGGGCACGGAAATAGTATCGTGCCTATTTATATATGTGGAACGAACTGTTTTTTTTGGCGCCCTTGTCGAAATGTAGGTTTCTGCAATGCAGCCTAGTACGTTAGGGAAGCCATAGATTGCCGCAAAATCGTGTGCTATAATCTCTTTTTCAGTATCACTTTCAGGGAATTTTATGATGTCCGGTGAAATTTCAAGCAAAAACGACATAACATTATTTAGCACGTTATGGACAGAAGAATAAGACATATTAAATAGATTGCTAACTTCACGTATGGTTGTTTTATTGCTGCAAAACCTACATAAGAAAATTACTTTTAATAAGCACATAGATAGAATCATTCCAATTTTACCATAAAAACAACAACACATGTGTGCTTGGCGTTGCTTGTGGTCTCCCCCCTCTGTAATTCCTCCTTACGTAGGATGAACTGCTTTCGTATTTTGCAATTAAATATTGCGCGCTTTCACGCTCAACGCGAAAATTTCGTTTAAACTATAAATGCATTAACATAAAAATATTTAGTACATAAACAAGCAGTGAGCAAAATTATGAAAGGGTTGTTTAGTATTTGCCTACTAGTTTTAAGGCGGTGACCTGAAATGGACTGAAAAAACCATAAGCCAAACTTCACAAAGAAAGTTTGATTTTTCCCTGAAACTTGGTGAGCAAAATACTAATCCATGCCGTTATGAAAAGATTACCTCGCGGTCCGTGTACAAGTTGAGTACTTCATCTACAAAGTCCTTTACACGTAAGCATTTAACTTTTGGATGTAAGAGTATACCGATTTCCTCATCATCTGAAGAAGAGGACGACGACTCCAGGAGCTCATTGATTAGATTATTTCCTACAAAGAAGATTTTTTCCATTTCCGCGCTGACAAAGCTCTTCCAACTGTGACAAGGATGTTTTAGTTATTACATAAATCTACATATGTATGAAAGCACCACACTTTCTGGGTAGCATATTTACCTGACAAAATAAAATTTTATTGATTAATGTAATTTCAATTCACAAAAAGTGCGGACAGCTGGAATATTTTAATAATTCCATGTATGCGTTCAAATTTTGCATTTTCAATTCACCACCGCCAAAATAAAATATCAAAAATTGTGGGCATTTTATCTGTGCTGCTTTGACGCAGCCGATACATGTGTGCTAGAAAGAGGCAAATAGAGTACTATTTTGATTTGTTATTGCATTGATCAGCTGATTGAAATACCGTCGATAGCAGAGGGCAGAAAAAGTTACACTTTCTCATTTTTTTAGGGTTACCCTTAAGAGATAGTTGAAAAGTGCATCTATTTTACAAAAGAACACAAAGAACACAGCATTTGAAAGCGACATCAGGGTCAAAATTTTTATGTAGAAAAGTAACCGCTATTAACGGTAGCGTTTGTAGCCGCTACAACAACAACAACGGTAGAAAAGATCGCGAAAGTGACTTCCCCTCTCAACTGAAGTAACACCCGGAAGCTATATTTTCATAATTTTATTCTGAAATGCATTTTATTAGTGTAATACAAAATTATTAAAGTAGGTGCAGTATCGGAACTGTGCTATGAATCATGGCTTAAGCATACATACATTTTTTCAAATCAAATTGACTGCTGATGGTTAAGCATTTAATACCTATAAATTTATAAACCATGTAGATGGCTTGGGACAATATTACCACCATCTACTTGCAAACGTACATTTTAAATCAAATAATACATTAGTGATAAAATATTTTTATAGAAGGGAAGCGTATGCGGGTAATATTTCTTTGAGACTTCGATTCGAGTTTGCGCCTAATGCCGGACTAACCTTTTAGGCTTGTCATTCCAGCGCGCATTACCTCATCCACAAGTAGTAGGTTACTTGCAATCACGGAGCATGAATTCAATATCTGTTTTTTCACCAGGTAGTTATCGTACACGCTCATATCAGCGGGTTTCATCGGTTCTCCTGTTGACAAATCTAATCCAATCGGTTCTGGATTGAGACGGTCCTCCTCCGTCAACTTAACAATTGTGTCTTGCGCATCGTAGCCGCTGTTGATTGCCAAATTTTTTGGAATGACCAGCAAAGCTTCAGCAAACGCTTGTATACCTAAGCGAACTTTGCCCTTTACAGTATCCTTATATTTCATGAGTTGATTATAAGCGCGCACTTCAAAAGCGCCTGCGCCTGGAATAACGCATTTGTCCACAAGAGCATTGTTGATAGCTCGTAGCCCATCACGAAGGGCATCCTTAATTTGCAGAATGGTGTGTTTGTTAGGACCCTTAATCAAAATGGTAACCGACTGTGGGTTCTTACAATCCTCCACAAAAGTGTACTTATTTTCGCCCAGAACGTGTTCGTAAACAACACCAGCGTATCCCAAATGCGATTCTTCCAAATCATCAAAAGAGTTCATGGCAGTGCCACCACATGCCAAAGCCAGACGCTCCATATTACGGCGCTTAGCACGGCGCAAAGCCATAATACCCTCTTTGGCCAAAGCATCAAGAGACATAGGGTCAATACCTTTTTGGTTGATAACAACAAAGGTCTTTTCAGTGCCATCGCAAAGGCTGCGCTTCAATGCAATAATTTTTTGGACTCGTTGATCGATGAACTCGCGTTCGGCACGTACAAATTTCTCGCGCTCATCGGCGGTTTTGTAGAAGAAACCTGAGTTGACTTCTGATTTTTCATACTCCAATGATACATTGCAAGTGAGGATGTAAGCATTCTCCAAGCGTTTTGGCATATCGGGATGACGGGTGCCGTGATCCATGACAATTCCCCGAATTAAAGAAGTATCCGTGGCAGTCTTGTGTTGCATCTCCATCAATTCAACCATGTGCAAGTCGACTTGTTTGTCTCCATGACGTATAGCCAGCACAGCATCAACGCAGACTTCAGTTAACACATCTGCCAGCGCAGGGTGAACTTTCGTACGCAAGCTGGTATTGGCAATGCCCATTAAATTCTTCTTGTTGATTTCGATTGGTATTTTAACTGATTCCAACACCTCCAATGCTTTGTTGCGGGCTTTCTCAAAACCTTCTGTCACAATGCGTGGATGAAGACCTTCGGCTAGAAAGATGTCAGCTTGTTTTAAAAGCTCGCCAATTAGTAAAACGGTTGAGGTGGTGCCATCACCAGTTGAATCGTCCTGAGCGGTACTGGCTCGTGCAATCATAGAAGCAGTTGGGTGTTGGATTTGCATTTCGTGGAGCAGTACATTACCATCCTTAGTTATTTTAATGTCCCCGGCACCAGATACCAACCTGTAAAAACGAATTGAATTTTAGTAAATGTCTTGGCGAAGATTAATGCATTCTTATTGAGAATATTGTTTTTTCAATATTTTCGCGACAGTGCTGGATTTATGTACACTATCGTTGTTAAAAGAATTAGAATATTTTTTCTTGCGCAAGCTTTATAGCAAATTCGAAGGCAATACTCAAATTTGCTGGCTAAATGCGCTAATTCTTGGAAATATTTTTTTCTTCATGATTACCTACAATAGAGGTATTCTCAGAGTCTTGCAAATCCATTGCACGGTGCACAGATTGCATAACTTGCAAACACACAACAACAAATTACATGGGTAACAACATTTCCTATCGCTGCAAAAAATGCAACGTCGAAATTCATGTATGTATATATTTTGCAAAAAAGCATAGCAAGATAAACTCGACCCTGTACTAGTTTTGTTGTTGGAATTGCTAAATATTTCTTTCATTCCTCCCATTGCGATCACCATTAACAAAACAACTACTGTTATACCGGGTTTTGTACATATTAATTGCGTCGAATCCAGGCATGATCATGATCTAGGTGTGCGATATGTCATATTATTTATGGTATCAAGTTTTGTTCTTTATTTTTTGTTCATAAACACATTTCGTCGCCTGGGTAAAAGATTGTCGTATGTTGATTTCGGCAGGTTGTGGGAAATCGCGATTGAAGTTTCTCAAAACGCGAAGATAGATATTTTCCAAAGTATCTGAAAATGTTTCTAGTTCACAAAATTCTTAAATTATTTATGAAAGATTTTCTTTATTAAAATTTTGTCCTAAGCGTCATTTGTCCACAATTTAGCAGCCACTTTGTATGAAATACGACAAAATGTGATCAAAACTTCTACTAAATTAACAACACTTTTAACTCAATGTTTCGGAAACTAAAGGAGATATCCAAAAATGGAGAACGACATCTTTAAGATATTGATTAGTTTAATATGGCTGCATCACTAACTAAATTTTTACTAAATTATTGAAAAAATTTTTGTCAATATCTCGGAAACTAAAGGAAAACTGATAACACCAATCTAAAGACCTTATTTCAAAATATATAACTGCATCTAGAGCTAAAAATCGTCAAAATTGGGCTTACGACAATTGGCCGCGCTTCTCCTCCGATTTGAGGCGTGCGCCTTGATCTTGTCACACAAAGCGGAGGGACCTACAGTTTTACGCCGACCCCGAACGGCGATTGTATTTTTATGAGAAGCTATTTTTCATGGCAGAAATACACTCGGAGGTTTGCCATTGCCTGCCGAGGACGATCGCTGTTAAGAAAAAACCTTTTTTCTATATTTTTTGCGATGTTGCTTTGACAAGGGTTTGAACCCAGGCGTTGCGGAGTGGAAGCGCGCACTGTTTACCACTACACCACAGCGGCCGACTGACTTTCCTCAATTTAAAAATTTAAATAGTAGTTGCTCGGTGCATGATAAAAACCAGTTTTCTTTTTGGACAGCTTTGCAAACCGAGCAATCCGTGCACCGTGTAAGAGCTTTACAAGACTGCAAGAATACCCGTACTGTGTACTGTCGTTTTGAACATTAGGTAGCACTGTGCTTGTAAATATACCAGTCTACTCTTAGACATTGCATTTCAAATCAAATAATTTCTTTTGCGCATACTTTATAACAAATATGAAGATTTTACTCAGATTTGCAGGCTATATGCGCTTATTTCCAACCCATTTCCGAGTCAGCCGCTTGATGACGAATCGTCTAAATACATAACCTCAATATATTTCAGTAGGCGGCGCTTTCGCCAGCCATATGAATCCGCTTTATAGCAATTGCATTTAATTAAATAATTGATCGTTTAAATATAAGCAGATATCTTAAAGCGATTATCAAAAATACCATTTAATACTCACATTTTCATCGTTCCTTTTGGGCCCAAATTAGTACGCATCACATCTTGCAGACCTTTTGCAGCCGAGATGTTAATCGCCAACGCCTGAGCAGCACGTGCGAATTCAGCCTTTGGATTTAATAAGCTGATCGAAGCCATAGTTAATAATGAGTTTTAATTAACTGTTTTATATTACAAGCAATTAAACGTTTATAATTCCAGTTTCTGTTTGTAGGGAAATTTTGAAAACTCCCTAGTCCAAATGGTCCAAATCGGGTGTAAAAAAGTCAACTGCAAAATGTGCAAGAACCTCAAAGTGGTATGTTCAGTGCTCAACATGACACAAATATGACATCCGTCATTTTCGGGTATGGCCACTCGGTGACTTCATTTCATTTTATAGAAGAAGTGGCAACCTTCAATGCAACGATGGGTCACGTTCCCCAATTTTGCAACAACAGCGACGTTGGGGCCGCGCAGCTGTTGGGGTTCGTCGGATTTGGTGAATCAGTTCAAACGAATCGAAGCAACGGAAAGCATAAATTTTCAATTGTGCGCTCGTAATCGCGTTCTGGAAAAAAACTCGTTGGTTGTTTTAGTGATTAGCAAGTCTAATTATTTGTTCGGTAGTGATACAAAGTCAGAAATCAAGACACGCAAGCAAATTTGTGGCAGGGGACTAACTTAGCTGAGAATAACCGGTTTCCGGGGGGGAGACATAGCAGTACAAAAATGGCAAGGGTGGTGAAAGTGAATTGCGCATCAGTCGCCATTTTCGCAATTTTATTGCTAAGCGAAAATTTTGGATGCAGTGAAGCAAAGCGCGTTTTGACCAGCAACAATCGCAAGACTGGCGGTGGACGCACTAGCAGTAGTGGACACGTGACCAAACCAAGCTACCCGACACAAAGCAGCAACGGTGCAAGCAACTCGCATGCAGACCTTGCTAAACTTAGCTATTCTGGGTATAATTCCGCGCCCAATCGGCCAGCATCCGCAGCAGGAAGTGGTGCCACAAATTCCCAACCAATTGGCTGGAACGTACCAAAATCTCAAGGACCACCCCCTTCTTACTCAGCTTCTAATCCTGCGGGCGGTGCGCATACAAACATGCACGAGGCTCCACCAGCTTATCGCCCAAACAATGCCGCACCACCCAGTTATGGCAGCGCAACCAATGTACACACTCCAATAAGCGCCACTAATACGCATGGCGTGCAGAGCTCCTACCCCGGCGCTACGTACCATTCCCCTGGCGCGTTGCCAGCGGGAGCCACTTATTATTCATCACCTGGTCAACTACCTGCAGGTGCAAGTTATCACTCTCCTGGCTCACTACCACCAGGTGCAACCTACTATCCATCTTCGGGACACATGCCTGTAGGAGGCGGTTACTATCCTTCTGGGGGCCATATGCCAGCCGGTGGGGGTTACTATCCGGCTGGAGGCGGCGTACCTGCAGGTGCCACTTATGTTGCTCCTGGCGCTGCATTACCCCCCGGTGCTGTCATGTACTCATCACCACCACAGCAAACATCATCTGGATTAGGATTTGGTAAGGGAGAGGGAAGTATTTCTAAATCTAAATAATTTATAAATCTTAAATTTTAGGATCAGGATTGGCCGCGGGCGCAATTGGTGGCGCTATCCTTGGTCATGTACTTACACCCACAAATACTCGCGTGGTGGAATCTGCACCGGCTGCTGCCGCTGGGCAGTCTGGTAACAATGACGATAAAATCATCATCATCAACAACGGTCCGCCAGGCTCGGTGACCACAACAAACGCAGGCGGCGCAACTGTAATAACCACTGGCGTCGCAGGAGAAAATGGTACCCAACCAGCTGCGGTACCGGCACCAGTTCCGGCTCCAGGCGCTGCACCAGCTGATCCCGCAATACCCCACGTACCTTTAGCCCCCATGGGCGATAATATTGCAGCGCAAGCGACAAACGGCACAACCGAACAACCAGCAGCACCCGCACCAGCCGGTGAACAACCAGCACCTGCACCAGCTGGCGAACAACCCCCACCAGGTGGTATAATTTGTGTGCCCGTACGTATTAACGAAACTGATCCGGCAGATAACAGCAAAATGATTGAAGTCGAGAAAATTGCTTGCTACCCAGCCCCCCCACCACCACCGCCCGCAGGGACTGGCGCTGAAATGAACGGCACTGCACCGATGATGCCGCCAGCTGACGCAGGTAGTGCACCCTTAGCACCGCTAAGCCCGGTCACTGCAGCCTCACAGCAATTGCAAGCAAGTCCAACGCAAGCACCATTGATGCCCGACAATACTTCGGGGGGAACTAGTGGTGCTGCTTGGGTTAATTACGCTCATTGTAATTCATTTGCAGCTATGCTGTTGCCATTAATGATTGCTTTCTTTGGCATGCGTTAAATACGCGAAACTAAAAATAGCAACAAAAGATAATAACCAGAAAAGACGGTAAAATAAGAACAAAGTAAAAAAATAAAATAAGAACAAAGTAAAAAAAAAAAATCAATATGCCTAAAGCGCTTGAGCTCAGTGAAAGACGTAATACAACTATTTTTAAAAAATATTATTGGAATTCGTATACCTCTTTTTTATAAATATAATCACTAATTTTTTGAATCACGAATCTCAACACAATTTCAAGTGAATTTGTGGTATTTTACAAATTTTGTAAAATTAAGTTTTGTTAAAAAATCTCAAATATTAATCATAAAGTATTAGTACAAGTAATATATGCTTTCAATGTTGAAAACTTATAGTATTGTTATATATTATGTATGTGTCACACATTCTAAGAAAACAAATCGGCCCAGTATGACTGACTACATGCAAGTCGTTAACCTGAAAAATTACTCGTTTTAGCCATTAATTTAACCTTCATGATGTTCACAACATGCTTCGAATAATCAATGCGGTTTTTGTATATTATATATGTATTGTGCTTCTAGAAGTTGAATATGAAACTCGCGCCTTTGTTATTTAGGGAATTTTAAATGCAGTCTGAAAATCGCCGACTGGTTGCCTGTTAAAAAATAAATGAAAACAATAGTCTTCGCATGCAGGTAAAAGCAATAAATAGCATTTTGTCTTTGTATGCATATGTACAATGAATATGTTCAATGAATATCAAAACTAATAAAATTTTCAATAGTCTAATACAAAACTCTAGTAGTCAATATTTATGCAGATATATGTGCATTGGTAATTTCATGTAATAAGCACTATTCAATACAATAAAACAACTAATATGCACCTTGCACTAACCGCAAATGTACCAGTGTTTTATTTTATTTGTTTAAAAGTTTTAGTTGTAATGCAAATAGCAATGGCAAGAAGCAGCAGATACAACAAGATTAATAGCGACTGATAGTTATGGCATTTTCTGAGTAGCAGTACATTGCTTATTAAAAATTCCATCAATTAATGTGGAATTTTTTATCACTCATGCAAATTGGATACCTACAATTTTACTAATTAAATAAAAAATATTGCTACCTTCGCAGTCAACGGGATACATACCGTAGGCTTTTCGGAAAACAACGATAAGCCCCTGATTGTAAGGTGAGAAGGAGAAGCTAGTCCTAACGCTGAAGTATTGGAGGCACTTATTGTCTCTTGATAAGCCTCGACCACTATTTAAGTAAAGGTTTTTTCATACATACATATGTATTTGAATCACATTTGTAAATATATCGATCATATCAATAAAAATGCTGTTCAGAATATATACGTACATACATACATAATTCATTTCCCAAATAGTAAAAAGTCACGGCCATCCCCGCATTAATCGCATTTAAATATTCCACCCGAATATCATTAGCTTTGCGTAATAAATAATCTACCAAAAAGAGGAGTTACGTAGAATATTTAATTACTTATTCATTTGTTAGCTTTTAAGCAACAACAATGTGGATTCGAACTGCTAAGCAAGAAATATTTTGTTAGTAAACAAAGCGTTGAATATGCAAACATGTACATATCGTCACCTGAAATGCAAAAACACGTAACAAACACCATCGTTGAAATGCAAAAAGTCATAACTAATAAAAAATTTAAAATTCACTTTTTGATTTATATGATGGATTTCATCGAATTACAACTCCCCAAATCATTTTATGGATAAAATTAAAATATTAGTCACGACTTTTTGCATTTCAGGTGACGATAGATATGTATCTGCGGTCGTATGGAATAGTAGCTTATGTCGGGAAGCTGGCTTTAGTATAATGCGGCATTCCCTTTATGCTTTAAACGACAAGGAATTTTTTGATGATACTTAATAAGAATATTGACTTGCTTGGATCGGAACTATTTCTTGTACGTTTATTTGCTAAAAGTTCTTTAACGGCTCGGCGCCAGTGAGTCATTCGCAATCGTATGCTGCGAATGCTGCATTATACTAAAGCCAGCCTTTCGACATAAGCTAATATTCCATACAAGCACAGATATGTAATACATATTATGTATGCAGAAAAGCACAAACAAGCGCACAGAGGAAATAAAAATTAAGTGCGATGCATGCACATTAGGCTGCATCACCAGAAAAAGTTGCGGTTTTTCCGCCGGGATTACAAAATTAATTATATTCTAAGGCGTCCACCAAAATATTTCGGAAACATATTAAGATTTAAGTGAGCTGGACCGATTTGAAAATACCTCCAAAAATGGAGTTTTATATGAATAAAAAGAGTTTCTTAAAGAACTTTTTGAAAAAAGTCCACTCAGATGACAAAACAATTAAACCTTAAAAAATCTGCATAAAAATATTTAAAAATATTTTCAACGGAATCGTAAGAATGAGATTTTTGATACTGTTTTTTTACTTTTTTCAAAGATTGATTTACGAAAAACTTGAAAAACTTTGCCGAAACTATTCTGATTTATACTTATTTTTACACAGAAAAGTCGTTCGTATCCCAATTTTTTTTTCAAATACCAATACATCTTAATTCAACTTTGAATGACGTTTGTTCATCCTACCTTTCTCTTTCATCCTTTGAATGAGTTTATTAGCAAAGAAATAAGAAGGATGAGAAAATACCTTTCCAATGACACCTCTTAGGTCTAAATCAGAAGAGTTTCGGTTCAGTTATTCAAGTTTTTCTTATACCAATCCTTGAAAAAAGTTAAAAAGAGCATCAAAAACCTCATCATTACGATTCCGTGCAAATTTTCTTTTACATTTTTTTTAAACATTTTTATGCAAATTTTTTAAGCTTTAACCGTTTTGTCATCTGAGGGGATTTAAAAAAAATCCTTAAGAAACTATTTTTATTCATAAAAAAAACTCCATTTTTAGGGGTATTTTCAAATCGGTCCAGCTCACGTAAATCTTAATATTTGTCCGAAATATTTTGGTGGACGTCTTAAAATATAATAGATTTTATAATTCCAATGGAATAATAGTACCGATTTTTTTTGTATGGGGAGTGATGCAGTCTAATGCACATATATACATACGAGTTTATCGTTTGCCTAGCATTGAAGCTTCGCTGCTATAAATATTCGATATGTCCTTAGATAATATAAATATGTATGTGTGTATGTACTGGTTTCCACAGTTTTGTAATATTGTCTTTCGATTTTTAGCAAAATTTTGCACAAACTGACTTCATTACCTTCAGCGATAAACGTACCGTTAGGGCATGGCGGAATTATTGCGCCATGCCGTTAACTTATTTGTTTTCCATGAAGGGGAACTCACACACACAACAACACACACTTTAGGTGTTATTTATAGCATCATCACCACTTTACAATTTAACCGCCTATTATTAGTTTCTAAAAATAAAAACACACATATTTGCAATAGTCATAGCTTAGTGTTATTTTTCCATATTTTATTTCACCATAGTTATTTAGAGTAAACAAAGAAAAAAGCCTGTCACGCCAGGCATTCGCATAGTATTCTTACATAGCATTCCATATGTATGTATGTTGGTTTGATTGATGCTTGTTGAACCAATTTAAGGACACTTAAAAACAATTTATTATCTCCATACGGGTAAATGTATTATGTATGTTTGTATGTATGGATAGTATATGCAATAAATATAAAGCAGCAAAATTGGGTAATAACTGCTAAATGAAGGGGGTTGGTGTTGATAGTGATGGTAAAGTCAAATTGAGTGGTGTTTTGAGCTTTAAATACATCTGTATGAAATACTTAAATATTTATGCATTAATTATGCATGCACATACATATGTACATATATCAGTTTGTATAACAAAATAAATTAGAATACGTATTTAAATGTTTGGCAACAATTTCTGTGGGTGGATTACATGTGTACATATGTACTTATGTACTTGACTTGTATGTATAATACATAAATACACATCCATATTTAGATTAATTAATGTATGTAAATGCGCCAGGCAAGGTGCCACATACGAGTACCTACATACATATGTATGTAAGTATTTATTTTTTCACGCTTACTGCTGTATATTATCAGGTCTTTAATAGGTGTACAAATTTGAATAATTTTTATTTTTTAGCATGCAATTTTTGTTTGTTTTTAACCACTTTCCACTTTATTCCAACCTCGGCCTAATGTGTAGGATGTTCACCTGACAAACAATGCCATTTCTCATGAAAATGATCCGGTAATTTTATACAATCCAGCCACTGTTGCAAACGTTCACCCTTGCTATTGTAACCAATTACCAAACTGCCCAAAAAGTCATTACTTTTGCCAATGTCCTTATCCCAAACGGTAATAAATAGAGTTTGCTTATTCAAATCATGTGGACTCGATTCGAAAAAGAACTCTTCACGATATATTGGATTGAGTGTGCGCCATTTAACACCGGTTTTGTATTTTTTGTTTTTATGTGAATCAGGTTTTAGTTGTCTAAAAAGAAAGAGGAAGAAAAAACTTCTTAGTTATTCATAACAGAGATTAACTGCAATTAGCGTAGTGTGAATTTAATGTGCACACTTCAAAATAGAGACTAGTGTAGAAAATGTGAAAATTAATTCATTAGCATATTTAGTGGAATTTTTGAAGATATAAGCTTTAAAATTAGCGCCCTGTGACACATTTTGCCCGATGGCAGAAATAATTAAAAATAAGGTGTTAAAATTGATCTTTTAGAAGGTACACATATAGTATATGTATGTATGACAGAAAATAAAACTGTATTAATTGACACCAAATAAAGATCTATAAAGAACCATCTATGGTTTTATTTTCAAGTGGTCAAAATAGCACAGTTCTCTTAAAACAAAGCACTCTAGTTGAAATTCAGGAAATTAAACGAACTCGTTAAAACGACTTCCGCCAAATGGCGCATTAAACATACCTCAAACTGACAAGCGTAATTTCTTCAAATAATCAAACAGTAGTGCTGCTTATTTTGCAAACAGCTTGTGTTAAAGTGTAATAAAGCATTGCTTAAACGTTAAATGAATAAGTAAATAGTTAAAAGCTACATCAAGTGAAACAAAAAAGTGAATAGTACAGACGAATTTAGGCAATTGAAAAAATTTCTCAACAACTCAGCCGCCATTTCGTTACGGCCCTTACTCACAGCTTTACAAACGGATCCGAGCTGCCATTGCTGTCCATTGGTATCAAATTGATGCACTGCTTCACATTTACCACCAATGCCCGCCGCTTGGTATTATAACATAGTGATATAAGAATTTTACCATGTGGCCATTCCTGTGACATTTCAGCCTCATTACTATATTGATCTTCACCGCCCAGCGGCACTGAAATTCGATACTGATTGGTGGTGTGCACCTGCAGAGACAAAAAATAATAATAACACAAAAAGTTGTTATTCTTATGCTCCTAGTAATTTATTCATTCTCAGCTCACCGCCGCCAGCGCAATTTTAGCGCCTCCCAAGTAGTCATGTCCAAACTTGTCATCATCGAAGATCGCTACATATAATGACGAGCTAACCAACTCCTCCGGCTCGACACCAACAAATTGTAGTGTCTCATTAAATTCCGGATTGCGCGTTTTATGCACCGTTTTGGTGCGCAACCAACGCGTGTATTTAGTGGTGCCATCGGGCGTTACAATATTCAACTTACAATACGGATCAGTCAATCCAGCCACATCCATGGCGGGCAAATCACGCGCTCTTACCATTGTGCAGTCCAGGCTGTGTACGTTCTCGCGATAGCTAACCGCTACCTCTAGCCAACCAAGCAACTCCCGACAGTGCAAATTCACTTGATTATGACTATGCACTTGACTGCTTGTGGCTGCTGAGTTGCCCGACGAGCTCTCGCCGCTGATGGACCATGACGAAGAGACTGAGCTACGACGCGTATAATTACAGTTGCTCTCACGTCTGTTATTCACAGTCGAAGTGACAGTCGAAGCAGTTGATATGGTATCATATTCTGGCTGACTATATTCTGATCTACCTGCCTGAGGGCGGTTGGTGAAGAAGGAGTTGGAAAGTTTCCGCTCACCACTGTCAATAAAGCTGCGTATAGATCCGAAGGTGCGTAGGCGAAAGCTGTCATCGCGCTGCATGCGCGTCGCCGACGGTGAAACATCAGTATTGGCAGCATTTCTATTGGTTACGCCGGCTATTGTTGATGACGCTGCCGCGCGCACTGTGCCTGTGGCGCCATCAACAACGTCAGAGCCGCCACTGCGGATGGCCACATCATTCCCTATGCCATCAACTTCCTCTTCCGAACTACTACTATCGTCTACATGTATTGTCAGCTTCTTTACGCGCACTTTACGCGTGGGTGTACTGTTACAACTTTGTGCACCACGCGGTGGCAGCAGCACATTAGACATGGCGGCGCCACTAGCTGACTGATGTGTGGGCGTTGAATTAGTACTGCTAGGCGCATCATAATTGGGAAGCCCTTTAAAGAACCACGCGCCCGATTTCTTCCACATTTCACGCGTTTCAGAACAGATGCGACACAACCATATTTCGCGCGTACGATCAGTGGTGTGATAGCGTATATTAATGTCGACGCTACACTTGGCACAGACTGACTTCTTGCAATCTTCGCAAATTATGCGTGTAGAACGCAACAGTCCAAAAGTGTCGCCGCAAAGGCGACAACAATTTGGACCGCGCTCGACGGCGCGCTCTTTGATTTTCTCTACACGTTCGACAAGCCGGCCGACGCGTTGCCGCTCAGCAATCTCGATCTCCTCATTGCGACGTATAACCGAAATAATGGCGGCCTGTTCGTCAGGTCGTAGAGGTTCATTAGTTTTCGAACTGCTCCAGCCGGCGCGTAATCTGTGAAAGGATGAAAATATTAAAGGTAAGTTTAATGCAATTAAAAAAAAATCAGCTTTTTATGAAGCATGTAAAGTAGGTATTAAATAATAATAATCTTGTTCAGGGTACTTCAGGATGCGTAAGTTTTACAGGATGTACAGGAAAAATTGTTTTCGCTATTAATAAACCTTATGGAAGGTGACATACGGGAACAGCTTCCTGTAAAAACCGGAAAATCGAAGAAGTACTTCGAACAGACTTTATTTGTATGCAGAGCTACCAAAATAAAATCCGGACCCGGTACTAAATACGTTCGGGGCACCAGCTCAACCCAACCCAAAAAATTTTTTTATTAATTTAGCAACCTAGCAAAACAGTATTTTAATCTTCGAACTTAATTTCCAAAAAATCCACTCCCTGAAAACTCCGGACCTTGGCAAAAACATGGCAGGTTAAAATTTTCGGTGCAGTTATAGAACCGCGAGTCGAAGTTTTGATGTTTTCTCTTTTCATCTCTTTTTTGTACTCTTTCTCTACCTAAAAATGAAAGTTCCATTTGCTCGGCGCTAGCGCCGCATAATTGTGGAATGCTTCATGCAAATTGTTTGGCTTGATGATTTTTGACAGTTCTTTGGCGCTTGACGCTTCAATTTAAGAATGACAGTTAGTCATTAGCGACGCGACACTATTGACCTACTATCAAGAAAGCACAAAAAAGGAACGCCATACCGTAGAAGACTTGCCGGGACAGTGGAGAAGATGAACGGCTGGAATGATTCCATGTATGAAGGGCTGGGCCAACAAAACGTTATACACCACTTAGCTTTTATTCGACCACGAGTACTTCACGAAATACCCTTACAAAGTAGACAAAATAGAGTATCCAGGATACATCTTCTTATGGGTTGACTGTTGCTAATAAATAAGCATCTATTTAGAAGAAGTGCTACGGAGAGAAATGCGGGTGCTGGAAAAAGATGCAAAGAAGGAATTTCTATAATGGGAAATATGGAACACTATGATGAAGTATGGCGAAAGGTATAAAAAGGAGGAAGACGCACAGGGTTTTGACTATGTGGAGGCAGGTGGAAATAATAGTTAACGTTCACCGATTTCTATAAAACTTAAAATATTGTTGGATATAATATTATGAAATATGTATGATGGAAACATTAGATTTCATGAGATGAAATTTAGTTTGAGTACTCTCTTCTATTTGTAAACTCTAAACATAAAATATAAAAAAGATTGGGTCACTATGACGTCTACAACTCGCAAACTATTTAAATCTGATGAACTTTTTATTAATTTTTATTTCCTGCTTTCCACTCTCAGAAAAAGAAAGGCTATAAATAGTAAACAATTACTTACATAGGTGTTAATATTCTCAAATCGCCTAATTTCTTGAGTGATTTTTCCTTTGTGCGAAAAATTATTTTCGCAAAAAGAAGCCGAAAATCGAAAATTACGTATATTTGCAAAGTCGCATGAAAATATCCATGACGTGAAATTTTGTATTTATGGCTCTTAATTTTCCCACTCTAAGCCCAGCAGCTTTGTTTTATCAACTGTCACCATAATTTTTTTCCAACTGCTTCCATATAGTCGAAACACTGTGCGACGTTTCCAAAGCTGGCTGTGGGAGGTGTTTTAGTTCACGGCCAAACCACCGCTGTAGCAACAGCTTTGGTGATAAATCATCATTTTAAACACTCACACCCGAAAAAAATTTTCTTTTACCTTATAAGTCCAAAGACACTTTACAAAATCCAGTTTAAATTGATTTCAACACACACCCTCACCAAACCTACATGCTTTGTCATTTCTTGGAAACTGTTGTCTGCGCAAACAATGCTGCAGAAGTCCTAAGGTTGCCAAAAGTGGCACAGACTACTTGATACTGTAAGAAATAGGAGCAATAAATCTTTTCTACGTCTTTCAAGTTGTATACGAAGAATTTGGTAGCGTTAAGCTGCTGCAATGCATACAAACAATCAAATTTTCACTGTCATGGTATATTATTTGTTCATTCAATCTAACTCAACAAACTACCGTTAAAAACTTTCTAAACCCTACACTCATACATACATATTATCAAATTTCACTTGTCAACCCAAGCGAGTTGCCACGGCCATGACCATCATACATGCCACTTGTCACACCATGCGTAGATACTATTGTGTTTACTCGCATGGTTGCGTATACGTCTAGTGGCGCACATACATAAATTCTATAAATTCACTTTAAAGGTTATACGAGTGAGTGACACACAAAATACTGAACCGAAAGAACAAACCATCTTCACAAGTTGCTAGCCAATTGCTTTGCTTATTTGCACACATATGTATGTACATGTATCTATGCATGCAGCTATGTACATATGTGTCAAGTTCATGGCTACTAGCAAGTGATAGTTAAAATTAATTAAAATTACATACATACATACATGCATACTTTTCTACCAAAATAGACCACATAGAATAGTATGCATAGTTAAAGGCAAAGGAACTCCCAAAAGTGTTAATGTACTCTATCGTAAAAAATTCATTGTGCATGGTTATCAATTTTTCCCTCACCGTTGTCATTGAAAATGCGCTACACTTTTAGTTATTTAGTTTTCTTTATTAAAGGAGCCCTTAACCTGTGATGCCACTCCCGCGCTTAGCTCCTACTATATTTAACCTCATTGTTATACATTTATTAAACAAGCCTCTTGCGTCACGTCAATTACATGACTCAACGAAACCGCAGCTGAGTGATACTAAAAAAAAATTTAAGAAGCAAAATTCTTTAGCAATTTTTTTGTATCTGTTTGCTTTTTGTTTATTTATGCTGTTGTTTGTTATTTTCTCTTTGCTTGTTTATCGCATGAACACGAGATTCTTAGAGTCAGGACACACTATTTTATTAGAGGACGATGAGGTGAAAGCAGCTCAGTATTTTCTATTAGATTGCCCAGCTTTTGCGAGGCTAACATTTCGGCTCGCTCTTTCTGACTAGATCTGAGGAGCTTTCAGGTAATAAAATTGGCCGTATTCATAGTTTCGTAATGGCGTGCAGCGTTTCGCCGACTAAATTATTGGTCCCTGTTCAGTTTTCGTGGTATCACAAAGGACAAGCTCTTAGGGCGATTTCTTTTCTACTGAAAAATTTTTGCCTTCTCAATGCCCAAGGGCAACATTTTTTTGTAGAAAATAAAACGCCATTGATTGCCTCCATTATATCCTAACCTTACCTAACCAGGGCACGTTATACACTTTTTATAGGTATCTGTGTAGATTAGTCAGTTTGAGCTACGGTTTGGTGGTGAGTGCACACTAGGGTGACTCAAAAACAGCAAAGTCGGAATTGTAATGCTCTCACCCCCTATGATTGCTCTATATCGAAAAAAGTATACCACTATTTTTTTATTTTGAAATCAAAAAATATTTAGAGGTCGCTCAAAGCGCTCAAAGTTTTCCATGTATTTTTATATGGGAAAAATACAATTTTTCGTAGAAATGGTATGGAATTCTTGAAAATCAATATTTTTCGATCGGAAAACTCCGGTTCTCTTCAGGATACTTTCAATAATCATACCCAATTGTTTATTTAACCATTTTTTAATACCAACGATTTTTTATTTGTCGCCCCATAGCATTTTCCGGGGTTTTTGTGGGTTTTTGACGGACCTATAAATTATAGTTGCTATGAAAAAATGGTTAAATAAAAAATTGGGTATTATTATTGGGAATCTCCTGCAGATAAGCAGAGTTTTTGGTAGAAAAATATTGATCTTTAACTATTCTATACCATTTCTACGAAAAGTTGTTTTTTCCCCATATAAAATACATGGAAAACTTTGGGCGCTTTGAGCGACCTCTAAATATTTTTTGATTTCAAAAAAAAGAAATAAGGATATACTTTTTTCGGTATAGAACTATCCTAGGGGGTGAGAGCATAAAAATTCCGACTTTACTTTTTCACATGTATTTTTGGACCACCCTAGTGCACACACTAATAGACTCGTGGTCCAACGATTTCTCTCAAACGATTTGTTATTCAATAAGCAATTTTGCTTTTAAATTTCACGTTCGTTTTTTAACCGACTTCAAGAAAAGGAGGAGGTTATCAATTCGTGGGAATATATACGCATATATATTTTTTTTATGTGCATATGTTACCGCATAACTTTGGACCTTTCTATAATTCTTTTTTTAAAGGGAAAATGGTACCTCAGAGGGGGTCCTATACTAATTTGGTTTCGATTCGATCATTAGATCATGAAGAAATTAACGGTACTCTTAAATTTATATATAGGAGTTGAAGTCGGTTTTGTTTTTTGCTTGAAAATTACTTGTTAACATAGTAAACTCCTGCTTATTTTATTTTTTTAGGTTTTTCTTTTATTTTGCTTCAGTTTTCTAGATTTTTGGGTTATTTTTTAATTTTTAAAGTAAAGTGTTGTTTTTTTTTGCAACTTTTAATGTTAAGGTGTTTTGACATCGGATTTTTACGGTTAATATTTTGTGAATTACATATGTAAGGTACTCGTATGCTGGTGTTTATTTTAAGCTTTTTTAAGTTGAGTTTTTTACATCTTTTAAGTCAGGTTTGCTTTAATTTTTTAAGTATTTTCTTTTTGATTTAACAATTTTTTAGTAAATGTTTTCTTATTTATTGTTAATTTTTTTCCTAAAAGCTTTTTTTAATAAATCTTTTAAGACAAGTTTTTTTTTTTTTTTGAGTTTAAAACCCCAGAAGTTAAGTTATTTTGGCCATAACACACATTTTCAAGTTCAGTTTAAATACGTTTTTTGAGCTTCGAAGTTGGAACGTTTTTACCAGAAGTTTTTGTTTGTTGTAAGTTCTAAGTTCTGTTAAATTTCATAAGGTTGCTTATTTTTCGCGGAAACTTAAGTTTTAAGACAGTAAGATTAAGTTTTTAAGTACATTTTGTGGTTATTTTTTTTTAAGTTCACTGTATTATATTTTTTTATTTACTTCGTTGTTGTAAGTTTTTTCTTAAGATAAGTTTT